GGACAATCTCGCCGCCTCCCAGACTCCGCTAGATTCAGAGCTCCGTCCGGGCCGCCATTGGGAGGCCAGGTCGTGACGTCACGGGAGAGGGCGAGGCCGAGGGCAAGGGGCGGGGCTTCCCGTAAGGTCCCTGCCGCTGCCAGGATGCCGGGATGTGGAAGTCCCAACAGGCGAGCCGCGGCGGCGGCACGGGCGGCAGGGAAAGAGGGGCCCGCTACGGGGAGAGCGGGGCTGAGCCGCAGCCATCCGCATTGCAGGCACGGCGCCTGCGTACAGCAGACAAGAGAGAGAGAGAGAGAGAAAGAAAAGAAAGGGGGACGGGGTTTAGGGGAATTACTTTCTACTTCCAGGCATTCACATCGATCAGCCTGAAAACACTATACATTATGGTCCTCAGGTATATGTTGTCTTGAGGCACAGTATGTCCTTTGAAGGTATGGACTGAGAGCACATTTCTAATTAGCCAAGGCAGCTGAGGCCCCCTGGTTTGATCTGAAGCCATTTTTTCCTTTACTTCTACCAGAAGCACTGTGTCAAATACAGTAATTCTAACACAGCAACGGGCAAGATAAGGAGTATTGGGGGGCTGCTAACATCATAAAGGGACGTGGTGGTGCTGCGGGTTAAACCGCAGAAGCCTCTGTGCTGCAAGGTTGGAAGACCACGCAGTCGTAAGTTTGGATTCACAAGGCGAAGTGAGCGCCTCTGTGCTGCAAGGTTGGAAGACCACGGAGTCGTAAGTTCGGATTCACAAGGCGAAGTGAGCTTCCCATCTCTCGTCCCAGCTCCTGCCAACCTAGCAGTTTGAAAGCATGTAAAAATGTGAGTAGATAAATAGGTACCACCACGGTGGGAAGGTAACAGGTTCCGTGTCTAGTCGCGCTGGCCACGTGACCACGGAAACTGTCTTCAAACAAACGCTGGCTCTACAGCTTGGAACTAGGGATGAGCACCTGAGCACCGTGCCCTAGAGTCTGACACGACTGGACTAAATGTCAAGGGGAACTTAACCCAGACAAGACAGAGGTGCTTCTGCTTAGTCCAAAGACAGACCTGCATAGGGATGCAGCCTGTAATGGATGGGATTACACTCTCACTTAAAAAACAGACACACAGCTTGGAGGTAGCTCCTGCATCATCTCTGAGCCTGGATGCACAGGTCTCTGCAGTAGCCAGGAGTGCATTTGTACAAATAAAACTAATTCACCAGCTACATCTGTCTCTTGAGAGATCATACTATCATACACACCCTAGTTACTTCCTGATTGGATTACAGTAACACATTCTTTGTGAGGCTGCCAGTGGAAAGTGTCAGGAAACTTCAAAGGGTCCAAAATGCAGCAGCCAGACTGCTGACTGGGGCTGGTTGCAAGGATGACTCCCCCCCCCTGTCCTCCACCCTGTTACAGCAGCTATACTGGCTGCCAATCAGTTTCTGGGCACAAATTTATTTTCTCTTCCCATCTTGAAGAACTAGCTATTTCATGTAATAATTCTTTTTTTATATTTATTGGTTGTCTTATATGTTTGTAAACTGCCTGGAGTGGTTGCAAGACCAGATAGGCGGGATATAAATAGAATAAATAAATAAATAAATAAAATTCAAAGTGCTGGTTTTAACTTATAAAGCCCTAAATGACCCGAGTCCAAGCTATCTCATAGATCATATCTCCCATTATGAGCCTGCTCGGATGTTAAGGTCGTCATGAAAGGCCTTTCTCTCAGCCCCACCACCTTCATAGGTGCATCTGATGGGCACACAGGAGAGAGCCTTCTCTGTTGCTGCTCCCAGACTTTGGAACTCACTCCTAGAGGAGGCCAGATTGGCCCTATCTTTGCTATCCTTCTGCAAGCAGGCAAATGCCTTTCTCTTCCATCAGTAACTAATTACAAACCTTCCCTCAGTAACTAACTACCTGTGTGTGATATTTAGAGGGATTGCTATGGTGTTTTCCATTTCTCAGAGTGATTTTTTTCTCTTTAATACTGTATTTGTATACATACTGTTCCTAGCTTTAATATTGCCTTTTAATGAGGTAAGATGCTTCTTTATACTCATTGTTCTTAGCTTTGAATATTATCTTTTAATTACGTTAACCATAGTTGTCTACTCATTGTTCTAAACATTAACTATTAACTATTGTCTTTCAATGTTGTAAGCTGCCTTGGGTCCTTTTGAAGGAGAAAGGTGGGGCTTCTCCTTGAAAAGGAGACAGAGAGATGGACAGAGAGATATGCGCCTGGTCAGTCAAAGGGCAGATCAAAGAACATGGTTCCAGCCTGTGTTGGATGGAGTTACACTTCCTCTGAAAACATAGGAGTGCAGCTTGGGTGTGCTCTTGGATTTGTTTCTGAGCCAGGTTTTGGGAAAGACACTAATCTTCACAAAATAAAAACTAGTGCACCAGCTGCACTCATTCCAGGAGAGATCTGACCTCGCCACAGTGACACATGACTTAATTACATCCTGGCTGGATTACTGCTTTTGTAGGACTACCTTTGGAAAGTGCTCAGAAACTTCAGCAGGTCCAAAACACTGCAGCCAGATTGTTAACTTACAGGGATCACATAGCCCCCCATTACAGCAGCTCTACTGGCTGCCAATCCGTTTCCAGACAGAATTCAAACTGATGGATTTACCCTATAAAGTCCTAAATGGCTTGAGTACTATATTTCCCTTTATGAGCCTGCCTGTGTCTTAGGATAATCAAGGGAGGCTTTTCTCTTGGTCCCACCTGGTTCAGGAGCAGCAACCCAGAAAGCAGTTGAGTGCAAATATCATCACCCTGCACTTGTTTAGTTGGAAAGCAAGTAACGCTGCTACAGAAGAAATTGTGCTTCTGGTGGAGTCAGCTTTCCATTTCATTTTGCAATTTCCTGGAAGCAAGCTACCTATTGTGGAAAAGGTTAGATCAGGCTGGGGAAGGGAGAATGTTTTCTGCCCCCACAAATTCTTAGCTTCACGTCCATGGGAGATACCATATCTGCTGCAAGTAACAAACTTAATCAGGAGAGTATCCGCCTTTAAGGCAGAAAAGTAATTCATTGTTTGGCAAGATACAGGCTTCTGAACCGTAGATTTCAGATCAGTATCTCAGCTGAATAACTGCCATCAGGAATTAAGGTTCACACATCATTGCTGGCTTCTGCCTTTTGGCCATCCATCCATAGTTTCCTGTTGTTAACAGTCTCGTATTTCACTAGGGGTCTGCCTATTTCTAGCACTTACTGTATTATCTTGGCTTCCTGCCTTACCCATCTTTCCCAGCTTGGTTTCCATGTTATTTCCCATCCTGTGTGTTCTTGTACTATTGCTCCTCTTCTCAGTAATGCCTGCCTCCTTTTATCCCCTCATCCCCCCCCCAACTCATTTTACTTGGCTTCATTTTCTAGATGTTTGTTTGCCCAACAGCCTCTGGTAATACATTTCTGGCTTAGCAGCTGTTATCAGGTTCAAAGCTGTGGCACTTGTCATTATGACCACCTGCCTTAATCAGCCATGACTGAAATAATATATTTTTACCTAAATATTTTGGGCTCGCAGTTGTTTGTACACATTACAGATTAGGAATATTCCATGGATATAATAGAAAATAACCCACTAGCCCTTCTGAGTATCTCAAAAATAAAAGCATCACTATAATGGCACCTTTAAAATAAGCAGATTTATTTCAGTGTGTGCTTTTAAGGATTATAACCCATTTCCTCAAACACCCGGAATACAATATTTGACCACAGGTTTCCATATATAGTACACATGGTTGTGTGGGTTGGGGACCAAGTAAAGTCATAGGCACATGTGATGAGCTTTCAAAGTGACAATAGCATTGGTAACACAGATAATGGATGTTCGAAGTGTGGATTACATCAATATGTTTTGTAGTATACAATGAAAAAATGGACTTGGCTTCCTTTTTGAAAAACGCTTCTTAGCTGCATATTCTTTGACCTGGACTCTTAGTCTTTAGAGTCTATGAGCTAGGGAGGCAGTGGCTGTGGTTCAGACAAATGAATTCACATTTAGTCATGGGTACTGTACCTTGATTGGCTTCTTTCACTGA